TATATATTAAAAGTACTATATAATGAATATTATATATTAAAAGTACTATATAATGAATATTAAAAGTACTATATAATGAAATCTATTCTTACATATAAACCCTCTAAAGTGATTTTTTGCGCATTACTTATCTCTCAAGAACTACTAATTGAATGTGACGTTAGATTAAAACTTTCATCTACATGCCTATGTTCTTAGGATTTAGCCTTGAAAAAATAACGGCACATTACTGTAAGATCTAGAAGAACTGTTAAATAATCTACGATCAGCTACGGAGTTACAATTATCAATTCATAATCACCCACGTAAATTACATGCCGCACATTTGACAATGACTAGGTATGTAATGCTAATCAGGAAGTACTAGTCGCGCTAACGTAGGGATGCAGCAGGCGATTTGGTTGAAATGTCACGCGATGTCTTAGAATTATGTGTTAGGTATATCCTAACAATGATTCATAGGTAACCTCACCCAACCCTGGCTCACATTGATAAGATTTAATACTTCAGAAATATGTAAATCCAATTAAGTTGTTACGAAAGGCTAAATAAATAAACCAACATTTCCCAAGGGCATAAATGCAAAAAAAAAGGACATTCGCTCTTTTTGTGACCATTTCCAAGTCAAAACCCACCTCCTATCTCTGCAGCTCCCAGGCTGCCACTGTATACCGAAACACGCTTCCTTCCCCTCCAAACCCCGAAACGACTACAAATAAATACCTGCACTTCTCTCATCCCATTCCCCACTCAAAAACTCTCCTCTTCTTCTTCCTCCTCCAATCAATCCCAATGGTTCATCGCCGCTCAGACTCCTCTGAGTCCAACCACCTCCTCCCCCTCGTCCACTCCGATCCCAAAAAGCCCAAATCGGCCCATCATCTCCTCCTCCTCCTCCTCTTCCTCTTCTCCGTTCTCTCTTTCACCTTCCTACGCGTTCCAACCGGCAACATCAGCGACGATGCCCTCGGCGCAGATTCATCCCCCGCCCCCTGCTCTACAGTCGCCAACAGCACCATCTGCTGCGACCGCACCGCGAAGCGCACCGACGTGTGCTACATGCGCGGCGACGTGCGCACGGAGGCGAGCTCTTCCTCCGTCTTTCTTTTCAACTCCAACACCACACGGCAGGAGAGGATAAGACCCTACACTCGCAAATGGGAGGCCGACACCATGAGCAGGATCGACGAGCTCCGCCTTCGCCCGACCAACGAAACCGGCTCGGCTTGCGACGTGGTCCACGACGTCCCGGCGGTGTTCTTCTCGACCGGTGGGTACACCGGGAATGTCTACCACGAGTTCAACGATGGGATAATCCCTCTCTATGTAACTTCGCAGAAGTTCAATAGGAAAGTCGTGTTCGTGATATTGGAGTATCACGACTGGTGGGTAAGCAAGTACGCGAACATCCTCTCCAGGCTCTCCGATTTCGACCCCATCGACTTCGGCAGCGATAAGAGGGTACACTGCTTCCCTGAGGCCATAGTAGGCCTCAAGATTCACGACGAGCTCGCCATCGATTCGACCAAGATGGAGAACAATAAGACTATTCGAGACTTTCGAAACCTGCTCGATGAGTCTTACAAGCCAAGAATCGAGCACATCAAACAAGAAGAAGGAGGTGCAGATAACAAGCAGCAACGGATACGGACACCCGATTCACGGCCCAGACTCGTGGTCGTGTCACGAAACGGGTCGAGAGGGATCGAGAACGAGCCCGAATTGGTGAACCTGGCGGCCAAAATCGGGTTCAGGGTCGAAGTCCTCCGCCCTGACAGAACGACTGAGCTCGCCAAGATATACCGATCGCTGAACTCCTCTGACGTGATGATTGGAGTTCACGGGGCCGCGATGACGCACCTCTTGTTCATGAGACCCGGC